CTGCAGTAGTTACACAATACCAGAAAACAGTACAACAGGAATTGTCTTCAGGGTCCAAGTGCTCCAAGACCCTCTTGGTCTTCTCTAGACTAACCAGGCCCAGTTCCTGCAGTCTCTCCTCATCAGAGAGATGCTGCAGGCTCCTCCTCATCTTTGTGGTCCTCCACAGAACCCTCTCCAGTAGCAACTTGTCTTTCTTGTCCTGTGGAGCCCAGAACTGGACACAGTACTCCAGGTGTGGCCTTACCAGAGCTGAGTAGAGAACTTTACTTTTGAGAAGGTGCTCGTTTGCAGTGGAAATTAATCAGTCCATGTGGAGGACTTTCCAAATCAGTTTAATCTTCCAAGCAACAAGTGTAGCACCTTGAATCAACACCCAGACTTATAGCTATGGGTAAGCAGAGCTTCAGTTCAGTATGTAGATGGAAGTGAAACAGAACAGAGCTGTGCAACCACTTTCCTGCAAAATCTTTTCATGCAAGTTTCAGTTCAAGGAGGTCAAAAGCAGCTGAGGAAAACCTATTACCCATGAAAGTTTCATTTATTACCCACAAACTACACAACCCAAACCCTTCAAGTGACTGCTGAGTGGGAAGCAAAGCCCTAATTTGTACTTTAGAGGGGTTGGAAGGATTTACATTTTGTTTCTTTTGAGGTTACAGCTCTTTTATTGTCAATTTTTATGGCTCTGTATCATTACACGTGAAGGGCCCAGCACAGTCAGCGCTCGTCATCGCTGTAGTAGCGCTGCTTCATGGCTCTGTATTTCCTCAGGAAGTAGAGAGCCTCCAGCTCCTTTATAACAAACTCTCCACGTGCAATTAGCTGCTTGATTTTCTCAGGATCTTTCTCATCTTTGTTCTTCAGAAAAGCTGCTTTCAGACGGCTTCTGAAGTAGTCTGCTCCTTTGGGATATTCCTTGCCGAGGTACAGCAGCTTGGAGATTAAAGAACAATTTGTGCTTAGCAAATGTGCAGTGAAAAGGGGTTTAGTTTCTGGTTAAGTGTTAGTGGCATTTAAGACACATTTTTGCATTTAAGACACTTACATTTTTGTACAGTTTCACCACTTCACCTCTTAAAGAATTGGCCATTCTCACATTTCGGTGAACTCTGTTTGGTTTTTTTTTTTTTTTTTTTTTTTTTTTTTTTTTTTACCTAAAGGATAATCAGTTTGACATTAGCCTTCCCTGGGAGTCAGTAAACCCCAGCCTCATCCCCCCTAGGACTCCTGTATCCTACTGAGCCACATTTCCTCTCCTTTACCTTATTTTCTGGCTCTACTCTGACTCTTCTACTTTTGGCTTCCTACTCTATATTCTATTTAGCTTCCCTTGCTCTTCTCCCTTCCCACCTCAAACAGAAAACAAGAAATATCCCAAGACTTTCACCTACTGTGCCACTTAGCAGCTGATGAGCAGCACATTCTCACATCTTACAGTCCTGGCAGCTTCTCTAGCTGTGCTCTGCTGAAGAAACATATACATAT